TTGAGTGGTACACGCTTCCGAAATGTTGAAGAAGTGCGAGAATGGGTGGACGAATGGATTGCTTCGAAACAAACATCGTTTTATCGAGATGGTATCGCCCAGTTGCCAGAAAGATGGCAAAAAGTTGTAGAAAGTGATGGAAAATACTTTCATTGAAATAATTTAAATAAATTTTTTACAATAAATGCTTTTTCTCAGTATTTTTTGGGCGGAAACTAAGTTAAGGTCCTAATACATCGTGTGATTAGTTTTATTTCTTACACCTACTCTTACCTTTCATGTGCTAAGCACGTGTTTGTAAAAACGAAGCTTCAAACGACTCGTTTAGTATGCATCTCAACAGTATCCTCTCGGTAATGGGAAACTTCTTCAACAGGGCGGGAAGAAACGGTAATCGACGGAGCTCTACTGACGCAAGTTGGAGAATCGTCCGACCTTAGTGACCTGGGTATGGTCTTAGTAGCGACGGCGGGGCGATGACGCTCAACCACCCTCCGCCGTCATCAGCAGGAGTCCCTCAGGACTCACCCAGCTTCCTGCTCCCGGCCCCGGTTCCGGTCCCGATCCCGATCCTGATCCCGATTCCAATCTCCGATCATAGTTGTCCGGCGTGGATCGTCGTGAAAACGAGCACGATTACTAAAACCCGGAGGAGATATGAGAGATCGCTCTCATCACTACCGAGATCATCACGGACACGCCATGCCCCTCGAGGAGGTTCAAGGGTTGTTACTTCCACCCTCCAGAACAGGTGAGTCGTCCCTCTTGTCGCGACAAAGGGCCGCGATGCGTTCTCGCCACCATAGAAGTGCGTCCGTTGTCGTGGAATTGAGTCTCATTGTTGAAGTACGTTTCAATACACGACCCTACTGCTTTCAGCTGCAGGCCGCCATTGTTTTAATTAACACACACATGTGCATATATATATACAGGGTGTCCCGCCACTATCGCATTATCTCTTAAGGACGGATTCCTCAGATAATTTGAAGAAAAAAAAATCCTAAAATATCGAGGCTATAATACTTACAAACGAAAAATTATAAACGATTAAAGATGACCAATTATATTGGCTAAAGTACGCGCGCTCAGGTACGGTACAACACACAATGGTACAGGTGCATGCACATAAGTGAGAATTTGCATAAGATATGAAATTAGTTGCAAATCTCTGAAAGAAACTCATAAATGTATTGTGTGATATTTTATTCATAACATTTTAACGAAATTCTTATTATTTGCGATATGTTTATTTAAATGATAGCAAAGGCAGATTATTATTACATGCGTTGTTATATGTGTGGAACTTCCGTATCAATATTTGGAAAAGGGACGACATATGCATGCACCTGTACCATTGTGTGTTGTACCTGAGCGCGCGTACTTTAGCCAGTATAATTGGTCAACTTTAATCATTTACAATTTGAAAGGTATTATAGCCTCGCCATTTTTGCATTAGGATTTTTATTCAAATTACCTCAGGAATTCGCCCTTAAAAGATAATGCGGTAGTGGCGGGACACCCTGTATATAGTATATATAAAGAGAGAGAGAGAGAGAAGATCATCCGTGGTGAGTGGGCGATCCTGTGGGTGATCGTCCGAAGCGTCCTCCGTTGTTATAATTGAATTTCGTTAATCCGCGACTCGTCGACACGCTGGCTGCGATTTGTGGGAAAACAGGGTCGACCGCGAAATTAAATGGAACGCCTGCACTGTTACGCGCCATAAAGCGGAACGCTAAATCAATAAATGTCGCGGCGGCCGATCGCGCATCGAATTATCGCGCGAACGAATCTTGCGGCCGGTGGAGGAGGTGCCAGCGTCTCGTCCTGTTAAACGGATTCAATTTTAGCTCGGTTTACTCGAGGATGAGGCAAATGACACGGGGGTCAATTACCACTTAGTGACATCCCTGCCAAGTGCTGCTGATCCCTATCCCGCGCAGCCTCTCAATTCGCGCCCGCCATCACCTAATGATAATTTTGCACAACAGAGAACTCGGCGCGACAACTCACGCGCAGTTAGTAAAATTCATAAATTTATTATATTTATTCGTAATTCAAGCAGCGAAGTAGGTTGCGCTCTTTGATTAGGTTCCGATTAGAAAACCTCACGCTTTTCATACACATATACATAGAAAAAATATTTCAATTTGTAACTGAATGGAGACCAGACGAGAAATTTATTGGCGAGAAATAATACCGTGTAAACTCTGTTACCGTGACCAAAAACATTCACATATTTTTTTTTCATTATTGTATTGTGTTTTAAATTTTGTAGTATCAAATAATTCTGTTGAAAAAGTGGAATTAAATTATCATTATTCTTCGAGAATGATATAATCCCTATTGAGCTTCAAATGGCTCGTTATTATTACCGAGCGATTTTAATTTCCTATTAGAAAAGTAGAATTGAACTGTTATCCTTCGTGGACGACGTGATTCCATGTCGAACTTCAAATGGCTCGTTATTATCTAGTATTTATATTTTTGTTGTATCAAGTGATTTTATTTTCCCATTAGAAAAGTATAATTAAACTGTTATTCTTTGTGGACGACGTAATTCCGTTCCTACAACTGAGTTTCTAATTCGGTCTCCAGGTAACAGAAAATTCAGCTATACTACCAGAGTTATTTTTTTCCTGTACATTCAGGGAATTAAGCAATTAAGTTTTCCCCTCGGCGATCGCGCAAGAGGCGATTAATATTCTCGCGAATCGACGTGCCAATGAATTTGGAATGTTGTTTACGCGACCTCTGCCCCCTCCGTGTCTATCGCTAAATAAAACCTCGCAGATCTTTTCTCGCCCAACTAGAATACGTAGGTCATTTAAGTACGTGATCTGATACAAAGATAGCGCGATTTCGGCGAAATATTTACTACCGTATTTCTTTTTTTTCTTCTTATTTAATGAAATTATCCACCGTGCCTTCAGTTTTTTCCAAGGATATTTACGGCCATTTCACACACTGTTCTTTTTTTCACTTTTCTTATAAGTATCTTAAGACTTCTGGCCTCTCGCATTGTCTATCTCTTTTTAATGACGTCAGAAGCGAGAAAATGCATGCTAAAAATTCTTGCGAAATAAAAATGTTGAAATAAAAATATACATCCATAAAGTAACACTTGCAATCGATTAAACAAATTTGTAAGATATTCCGTGCACTCTCCTTTTGCTCTAACAATCAATCGTTTGTCGTAAATTAACGTGACATACAATTCATCTTCTTAACCTATTTCTTCGCCTATTTCTATTCAGATTAATTTACAATAAATTATTGATTATTAGAGCAAAAGGGAAGTGCACGGAATATCTTACAAATTTGTTTAATCGATTGCAAGTGTTACTTTATGGATATATATTTTTATTTCAATATATTTCGCAAGAATTTTTAGCATGTATTTTCTCGCTTCTGACCTCATTAAAAAGAGATAGACAATACGAGGGGCCAGGAGCCTTAACCGTGCTTATTAGTTTTTCTTAAATTTATGTTATTTTCTTTAAAAATTGAAATATAATAAACAATATTTTCCACTCTCTTCTTTGTTTTATTTTTTCAACGTTTAATATATTCTTTCTTCTTTTCTCTCTATTTTCTTAAACATAAACTCTCTCTCTCTCTTTCTCTCTCTTCATCATATATTCTACAACTATACAGTACATGATTCATATCTTTTCTTTGTGCATCACATTCACATCTTTTTGTATTAACTATCTCTTTCCTTCCCAAAAACTCATTCAAGTTGTAATGCTAATGTTAGCTCGGATCCTATCATCTCTATCATAGTGCTGAATCCTCTTATCATTTTTTCCCTTATATACTACTGTATTTCATCTCTCATTAAGTATGATAATATAGAGTAATCTGTTGATTGGTCTTTGTTTGATAGCGCGCCAAAGTGAATGTGTCGAGTGTCTATGTGCGTTCATTGTTATGACTGTTTTTCCTTGTTTTTTGGGTAAAGTAATAGACTCAAGTTTGATCAACAATTATAAATCAGTGCTAAAAGTACAGATCACGGCGAAATTATGCTGAAAAGACAAGAAGTCTCTGAGAGACAATGAAACTGTTTAGTTTGGTTTTTGCTGGCTAGTTTGGTTTTTGCAAACGCAGGACCAGTCGCTCGCAGAATTCACTTTGACGTACTGTTAAACAAAGACTGATCGATAGATCACTCTGTACTGTCACACTGAATCTGGTAAAGGATAACTCTGAAGCACGGTAATGAAGATTTGGTCAAACTTGCGTCTCTGTATTAGACCGCGTACTTGTCAAATGACCAACGCGATTCCATTATGAATAAGCGACGGCGGCGACTTGATTGCCTCGTCTAGCGTTTAGTCGTCTATTTTTAACGGGCCAGTTTCATCATGGTCTCCTTTTTCACTCTCTTTCCATGTTCTACGGCAGGTAACCGGGGACCTCTGAATGTGACGATTGTACAGGTCGGCAGAGGAAATGGAGGCGGTGAAGATGGCGGAAGTGATTTACTGAGATTGGAGCCGCCGTCGGATTTAAGACCGGCACCGTCGCCCCTATCCGACACCAGTGCTACCTTGCAGTCTGACAACAATGACACCTTGGCCGGAGGTGAGAAGTACACGCCGTTACTGTGCTCGTCCCAAAGCTCGCCGTTATTCGCCTCGCCACTGCGCGCAGTTTCCTAATTACGGTACAACCATGAAATAAGAGAGAAGGAGGTCGAACTCCATATAACGAAAGTGGTCCTAATTCGTGTTCCCCAGGTTTAACTGCACCACTGAACTGATGCAGTAAGAGTGAGACAAGTATATTTCATCTCGCTCTAACTTATTGCTTTACAAATGGCGCCCAACCATAAGAAGTTATTCTTTTCAGCGGATTTCCTCTCAATTGAGGGACACGAATCAGGACCACTTTTTCTACTCGCGCCCTATCAAGTTCGGCCTCCTTATCTCTTACTTTATGGGTACAACATTCGATTATATTACTTTGGGCTAGATCGCAAGTGAAATTGAGGAGAAAGAAGAACTGCGCGATTCTGGCGTCGCGAAGATTTTTAACGTTCAATCCCGCCGAGTTGTCGGCGCTCATCTTACCAAAAGATCAAAGAATCCACGGACGGAGGACAATTTAATCGCGCGATCGGACAGTCCACAAACGAAATAGTTTGTTAAAGGACTCAATTGATTCGATAAAAACTGTATAAGAAATGATAAAGTAAGGGAGAGGCGAGCAAATAGTGACAGTTTAAATTTCTTCTATATTTCCTACGTCTATGCTACTATCACCGTCAATAGCAACATCTAATCATCTTTGAAAAAAAACAATTAAACTGTTAAGCCAAACATAGCTAGTAAAAAAGCCTAAAATTTTGGCCTTTGTGAAACAAAGTAAAACCTGAATCTTATTCGGGTACTTCCATTTAGATCGTTTTGACTCTCGAACCCCTAAATGAGATTTTACTTGTTCAGCGTTGCACGATATGTGTTTCTTCTAGTGTGACCTAACCTCTATATGTATATATAAATTCGTTTATTGTTTTAAGTGTTTTAAAAGAAGAGGCAACTCCTGGAGCAAAGAGTGACAAATTTTAAATAACGTTACTTGACTTATTCAGTGTTAGTTGAATTGCATTTCTTCCCATTTATTTTGTTGGGTGTAACTTAAATGTCACTAAACTAGGTTTAAATATAGAATACAGTTTTAAATACAGAAAATATTAACAAGTAATTCGAAAAATCACTTTCCAAAAGCACGTCATATTATTTCACCAAAATTAGATTTTATACATCATTTGTTTTAATAAAATTCTTACATATGACAGTAAAGAAATTATATTTTAATTTTTAGTTAGTCATACATCGTCAAAAGAGAGACTGAATGGAAGTTCAGGAGTTTTTCATGATTGTCAAACCATTTGCCCCACGCAAGTAGTGACAAAATGCAGATTTTAGTTTCTATGAAAATCTATTCCATATGACTTATGGGTCTTGTACTTAAGTTTTTTGTATAATTAAAGGTGGAAAGTATTGTTAGTAAGACATCCAATCTCGACAACTTGAAAATAGCTTACACGAGGGAGAAAAAATCCGTCACTATTTGCCCCACTCTCCCTTACTTATTGAACGAATTCAGTAAGAAATCTAGTTTTTACGAAGTATGAACAATTGGATGCCTATCAATTCTTTTGCGAATTGATTTTATGAAATCTCTTTATTCTTATTATTATTACTTTTATTTATTTTTTTATTAAACGTTTGTTAATTAGAGATTTTTGAGCAGATAAATATCCCTTCTCGTAAGAAAACATATCTTTTTCCGAAAATCACATATAAATCCTGCTCGCGATGACAATTTTCAAGCAGAATGAATCGCGTCGCACAATGCGAGATTCGTTGAATCGCGAGAACAAAAATATTCCATTTGGTTGTACACGACAGAATATCCTATAATTTCTTCCTATTTTTAAGAATATTTCATTGAACACTGCGATTATGTTGACGCAAAATATTTTCACCGCCCCGGGATGGACGAATTACCTACCATATGCTACAGTACCGTTAATTGCAATTTTTGGTCCGTGTGTTTGTATCCCTTAAATATTGACGATCGAGCTCTCTTCGTTCACTCTTGGTCGACGGTGAGTTGCGTGACGTCATATCCCGTCACCGGAAGCGTTTCAACGGCGAGCTTTCGGTTACAGGCAGTTTGTCGAAGTTCAGCGAAAGAAAAGTGCGATCAAAAATAGACGCGAAATAGGGCGATATGAGAGTGATACCTTTTGACGGCCGTTTCGGAGATCTAGCCGACACGAAAACGTTTCCGACGAATTCTCAGGTGTCGATCCAAGGCTATTGCTGGGAACCGGTGGCGATCGCAGCACTTGGGAAGGACGTTATCACGTGAAGGAACACCGGCGTGCTGGAAAAGCTACCTTCCAGGGTCAAGTTTACAATTTCCTGGAGCGTCCCACCGGCTGGAAGTGCTTCCTATATCACTTCTCTGTGTGAGTACTCACGATTCTTTATGCGTACGCGTGACTTGGCATGGCTTCTCGTAAGACACCTCGTAGTAACATCGATTGCGCACACGAGAGCACGCACACATCGACTTTACCAGATACAGTGGCTCGCAACATCCCCGAAAATCCTAATTTTGGTGAAGGCATGGCAAAGAACAGAAAAAATTCTAACAATATTATCAAATGAACTGAATATTCATCACGAGCGTTTCCCACCGAGTGAGTAACGTTTGGACTCTCCACTTTTCGCCCGAAAGTCTAACACACGCGCTTAAACTCTATTAAAGGAGTCTATTCACCTGTACCAAAATACCTCAAATTATATAGAAACTAACTTGAACCACCTCGCGTTACTCGGGTTATCACAAAGCGTCTGTAATATGAAATCAAGGGAAGAGAGAGAGTGTCCAAGTTTCACATAGTAGTCTAAATTTTCCGTAGCGTTCAGAGATCAACTATACAAAATTTGGTCTAGATTGGTCAAAGGGTTTAGGAGTTAATAGGAAACCTACAGACAAGTTTTCTATTTTATACATGTAAATTTAATGTAATATATATATATATAACTTTATATATATATATATATATAACTTTATATATATATATATATATATATATATATATATATATATATATATATATATATATATATAT